ATCAATCCAAAGTATCAAGCCGACTATTGATTTTCTTACGGACCACTCAACAAATCAACCGAATCAATCTTTCATCCGACCAACTAAAGTATCGAGGATAAACTAAAGAATTTTTTCGTCGCCTTTAGACTTTCTACATAAATTATTCTTGTCGTGTCACAACAATCTTGTCAACGCCATCCAAAGAGCGTCTGCTAGTCCAAATAAACAGTCGGGTGAACCTTGGTGACAATATGGACGGCATCTGGCTGGTGATGGACACCATAAATAAACATCGCTTCTATCGATAAGGTGAAGAAAATCTTCCAATCTGATCCTGCAAAGAAAGTTTGAGTGTTTTGTGATATGATCACTTAGCGATGATGGATATGACAAAAGATAACTCCATTGTCTTTTCAGTCGATAGAAAACTAATCGAAATCCCTATTCCTCTATCGAAATGCGATTTATGTCATCTCCCACTCTATAAGCTTTCCAAGTTCTTAATTAGAAGCAAAACGTATCGAGAATAGGACTGTTAAAGAGCGTTTAACTTATATTACTTTGTGTCAAGTGAAAGTCGGTCGCGCTGCACCATATTTTACCAAACAGGCCGTCCTATTCCTTGTACGTCTAAATGACTATTGCGACGCCAGTGTCAAGATATCACAAACGTTCTCTGATGAGATAGGATGAGCATGTACTTATCTATCATTAACCAATTACACTTAAATCTATATTCTCAAAAATCCAAACTGATAATTACTTTCGAAATTGCCTTATTAATATCACTCTACAAAACTAGATGGCGTTAGTATCATTACAATATCCAATTTATTCTGATATTTGTTAACTCCACTTTAAGCAGCAATTGCTCATTTTTCTGGAATATGAAATTAGCTGTGTTCGAGATCATCAGCAGTACAGATTAATCTTGTAGACTTCCTCGATATCCGGCTACTTACAATCTACACATGGCATTATATAGAAACAATTAGCGATGGGTTAGAGAGGATAGAGATAAGCTATTTTAGTCTAAATTATTTTGTAAACATTCATTTTGATTCTGAACTTTTCTTGATTTCAACTGACAAAATAATCCGCTATTATGGTAAACCATAGCTCTTTCAAATATAGATTATCTGAAGCTATAACACTATTAGTGTGAATAGAGCAAAATTAAAATTTAAGTTTTCCATATAGTATTTAATAATTAGAGTGGAAACAAAAATACTTCGATGTTTCCATGCAAAAAGACAAACCCTTCATACCAGTAAAGTGATTGAATAACTGTCGAATTCGTCTATCGCATCACTACAGCAGCTAATACAGCCGCAAATCACGCAGCCCGCTAACACAGTATTCATCCATGATTGATTCAGGTTCACTAATACCCGCGTAGAGTAAGTGTGTAAAATCCATGTGTACGAAACCCACAGGCATATTCCTCAGCTTTTCACGCTACTACAAATGACTGTTTGATGAGCCTAACCCGTACTAACCATCTGCTACAATAATGTAAGCGAGGTAAAGAACAGAGCGGGCAGGAGTGGAAAAAAGCCTAGCTCAGTAATCAGTAATCTCCGGTATCGCACCTAAAGGGATTTACAAACCTTTGCGGTCTTATCCATTTTCAAGTGATTAATGACCCATCCATATGTTACAGATGCAAGAGAAGATTCTTTTCTCTTACCTGCTGCTTCAGTTATGCACTTAAACCATACTTTGAAACCAATCTTTTACTGCTGAATTACTTAAATTTATATAGGTCTACTCGGATCACAACAATTCAAAAATAAAACACTTTTAATAATTTCTTTCTTATTGAAATAAATTCTATTTTATAACTGCATAAATATCCTTAGTCAGTTTCCAAAATAAACAGATGAAGTCTAGATAATAAAAATGTTTTCGGTGGCAATTGCCATCAATTTATTTACAAGACGGTAGGAGATAGACAATAGGAGACTTAGATTGCATCTTGTTACTTTCTGTACCATGGACTTAATAGGAATAGCTATTACACACTAATTACAGCTAATAAAAAAAAGTAAACGATACTGACTACAGTATATCGCTTTACAACTTAGGTTGGGCTCTTTAAGCCTCAAATTACTTTATAACATAGGTTGGGTTCTTTCATCTTCCGAACCTCAACTTGCCCGGAGCTAAAGAGTTTTACAAGTTTATTATTTAATAATTATTTACTTTAAAAATATTTATTTACTTTAAAAATAATTTATTTACTTTAAAAATAATTAAAATATATTTCAAAATTCACTTAGTTATCAATAGATTTGAATAAGCACAAAACAACCATATGCCAGTATAAAATAAGCTCGTGAAGACCTCCTCCTATTAACTGTCTTGCCCAAAGGTGATCTAAGTTAATATACTTAAGCATTTTTACGGTCATATTTACGAACCTTGATTAAGGTTGGCTAATATTTGAGCGAGTAAGGTGTCGACATTCCGACCAATTAAGAAGAGTAGGCGTGGCTCCAACTACTCACCATTCTTGACAATTATTATAATTTAAGAGAAAATCCGGTTAAATGTGTTTTCACTTACAGAAAAAGAAGAAAAAATAACTTTCTTCACCAGAAAAACTGTGCTGAAAAAATACAACTAGAGAAGAACGGTATTAAAATTTTTCAAAGGGGGTGTTCACAAGAGTAATTACCCTATGACAAACGTTAATGTTTCGAATTTAAACAGTTTTTGCCAAAAATGCAATGAGGGGAGAATAACGGGGACTTAACAGGTGTGGAATAGGCAAAGTTGCTTAAAAACAATCCCTTATTCCTTGTCACAGTAAAGTGAGGAGGGAAGTTTCCGCTCCCCTTCCGTTTTAGATGCCACTTGTTCTAAATATTTATAAAAGTGGCTAGAGTTATTTTTTCATTATCGCTCTGTTTCACGCTGATTAATTTGCACCTTTTTTATACATATTTTTTTTTCGCTGGGGTAAGTGGTTGCGGTATTTAGGTGACGCAGGCTGTGGAAACAGCTGCTAACCCTTATTGATTCGCCCACAACGTATATAAGGAAAAAAAAGAAGAAAAAAAGCATCGAAGATAGAGCAGACGATTAATTTGTTGTGAAATGATCTCCTTTCATTTTACCCGATTTATTTCGCATATCTTTCAAATTGATAAAAAGACATAAATCACTTTTTCAGTTTCGAAGAAGTTATATTAGTAAATTAGTTACTTTTCTTCTTAGGTATACTTCAGTGAGGCCCTAAGACCAACATCGCTGTAGTTTTATCTCGTCAGAAAGTTGCAAAGACGTGATTCGACTTTTGAAACCCCGATGTCGTTTACGACATCTGTTCTGACCACGATTTTTAGGGATTGACAGGTAAAAAACGTGAAATGTGGACAGTCCCCGACATTGTTGGTTTTATTGTCGACGTTCGATAGTTGTACACTGTCCGATTGCAAATGGCGTCCGAGTTAGCGATGAAGTAAGCAGTTATATATTGAATTTTCAACTCCGTTAACGTGCAGAATGTTACTCGAGTTTGAAATAAAAGCGAAGCATTTAGACTTTATGAATAAAAATGTCACTAAGTTACGTTTAGTTTTTAAAATAAAAATATTAATTTATAGATAACAAATTAAATATCTAAATCTGTTTGTAAATTAGAGAGAGAGAATTTAATTTTAACAATAGATCTTTCCTCTAATTTACAAGCATTATTTTTTTAATATAAACTAAAATTACGAAAACAGAAGAAAAAAATTTCAAAAAGAACAACAAAGATCCCCCAGCTTTTGATTCCTATAAGCATTGCTTACGTTTTCAACTATGGGTTGGTATTGTCAAGCCCAAGTGACAAACACATGGTTCGGTGGTAAAAGATCAACAAAAGTCAGAACACGTGCGTTTGGAGGGCTGCAGTTATGCAGGTGTGGTCCAGGGAGAACGGGGGAGTGCATCTCGTAAGTGTTGAAGGGGTGTAATAGGAATGCGACCCGCACACCTGACACCTGAAACCTCACACCTGCGTCCCGTATGAATGAGATGTCAACAGTTCCAGCTACAGAAAATGCCGTAAATCTAGTCATACTATTAACTCTGAGCTACTGAAAATTGACAAAAGAAATCGTGCTGTAAAGTACTGCACAACACAATCTTTGTTACTGTTATTAGCTGTAAGCACTTCAGCATACTTTTCAGATTCCCATCGTTGGCCTTCTCAGGCCGAAATCATCCCGAGGCAAAACGCGACTGATTTATCTAATAGGCTAATCAGAAGTGACGTCATCTTTTCAGGCCACTTATATTCTTCTCGATTACTCAATACAACAGATATGTGGAATGCAGTTACTAAATCCAATGACATCATATAGATTGTTGGGAAATGCAAATTCGTCCGTACTTTGAATAGCGTTAATGTTAAATTGCTATCGCATTAATTTATAGTGCACATAAAATGCGAAAATATTTAATACAATATAATTCTTATTTAACAAAATAAGAAATTTTACATTCATAAAGAAATGTATGCGAAAAACAAACCCACGGTACAGCAGGTGAAAGCATCCACGTATATATCCCACGATATTCGTTTAAACGAACGTTTTAATCTCGAATAATTGACAATTGTTTTATAATTTTTTATTATTATTTTTAACAGCAGTAGAAATTCTTGGTAAGTTAAAAACAATTAAACTTCTATATCTAGTAATCTAGTACAGACTAAATTGATTAAAATTTTTATTCTTATTCATTTTTTTATTCGAATTAAATAAAACATTATACGGATGACTAGTTTAATCAAACGTGATTATTTCTGATTTTTTAAATATAATTTCTTAAACTTTTTATATTTGAATACAGGAATATAAGATACGTAATAAGAAGAATATGGTTAAAGGAATACTTTTAATAAAATAATTTACCAAACAAATTCCTTTAACCATTTTTACATTTATGAAAGTGATGGGTCTATTATATGTAAAATAACAATTTTAATATAATTATAGATTCAAATAAACAATTCGAATACATACTTCTTAAAATTCTTCCTTCTTCCGGAGTGGTTCTTTCGGTAGTGTCCGAATCTATAACCGGTGTATCGGTCAGCCGTTCTCCTACTTCCGGACTGGTAGTATTTGAGTCTTTATCTGTGTTACATTCTTCTTTAATTCCGACCGGAGAATTTCTAAGATTTGGCAAATTATGGAAATTGCCGTCGTTGTGATACCGAGTAGTCAAATGTTGTTGACCGGCAGAACTAACTGAATCATTGGGTGGTGTAGGTTCTAGTTTTAGACATTTGGCTGGGATGAATGCTGAGCCGCGGAAACCATTTACGCTTTGGTCCTCCGTATTCATGGGCCTAAAAGCACCAGTTGAACTGGGATTTAAGAAACCCATTTGCCTATCTAAATTAGTATTGACTAGTTGAGGATATACGTGGGATTGAAGGGGTGGATAACCCTCACTTTGACTAAATATAGGTCTTACAGGATATGAACTGGAATTGGTGTATGGTGAATGAAGATCCTTATCGAGGCCTTGACCAGAAAATGGTCTTTGAACATGAAGTCCTCCCTGAGTAACGTCAGTAGATGCGAAGACCATAAGAGCAGGTGAAGCCATAGTGCTTGGAAGATATGCGGTATTGTCTAAACCACCTACGCATAATCCCTAAAAATAAAACCAAACAATTTTTAATAAATAAAACGACTAATCTCAAATTACTATTCAAATATAAATAAGAAAAGAAAATTAAAAATTCTTTCAGAAATCGCATATTTCCCAGCTGATATTATGTTTCAATTCGCCAATCCGTATACATTAATTACAAATAAAGCAATTGTGAGAGAACATGTAAGCACAAGAAATACGACCCAAGATCGCTTTTTATTTTATTCAACAGAACTTTTTATAAAAAATTATGACTGAACTGAAATAAAAGTATGCTATTATAAATAGCTTTCCAAATAAGTAGCTATTTAGAAAAGCGTTAGATCTTCAATCTATTTTTATCGAGATCCACTTAGTTTAAAACATTTAATTAAGGGAATCAATCAAAAAAAAAGAAAAAAACAAAGATATCGACGGCACCCAGAATTAATTAAAACGAAGAAAAATAGTCTAATTACTTTTGTCTGATAAACGCTTTCCTTAGAACAACTAATTTACTTCATATTTCCAGGTTAATAAAACCCAACTTCAACAAACAATACCATAAAAGATAGGCCTGTAAATTGGAAATTTCTAATTTCTTTATTAAATTTATGTAGTTTATTACCGATTACGTTTTTTAAAATATTTGCGAACGCTTCATAAAATTTTCAGGAAACAAAATTATAATTTTGAAAAGTATTCAACATTTCAACAAGTATAATAAAACAATAGGCCTTTTAATTTTTGTTTTTTTTTATTTTTTTAAATACTGTATTTAATTTCAATTAAGCTTTAAGACAAAACTTGAAATATTTACAAATTTGAGCGTTCAATTTAAAATTGTTGTATTTACAAAATATAGTAGTTCTAAATCTTTGTTTATAATAGAAAATATGCCATTATAGAGAGGAAAATATTTTTGTAATAGTCAACAACAACACAAATCTTCATCGAGGAACAAAAATACTGATTTTCATCTATAAGCTTATATTTGTTCAAAATTTTAAAAGAAAACAATATTTCTTCATTAGTTTTTAGTAGATAAAAGACAAAAATTATGATACAGAATAGAAACTAACACAGGCAACTTCCCATATAAGAGAACATCCTTAACATAATCATAAACAGTACGATGATTATGGAATTCTACCCTAATTTAATTTGAAACAGTAAACATCCGATATTTATATTACACTGGTACATAATTTTTGAGCATAATAGTCCATCTCCAAATAGTTCTAAGCATGCGCAGAATGCAACCATCCTAATTTACCTTTAAAATGATTTCCATTCCGAAACAGATGGCGTTACGTCACTTAATGCCAATTAACCAACCCTCAAACTCACCTGAAATCCCTGAAATTTGAGAGCAGCGGGAATCAAACTCGGCCTGGATCTGTATCTATCTCCGTGACTCGTCATGTCGTACATTTGCGACATCGGATATTCACAAAAAAAAATAAATAAAAATAAAACAAGAAATAAACACGAAAGAGAAATTAATTTAGCATTCGGACAGGTTTCTCGCCTTACACTACCAAAAACTAGTTTAAGTAACGGAAAGAGGAAGGGAGATTATTATTAAAAAAGCAAACATGTCTGTATGACAGTGTAGTGGAAGGTTGGTTAGCACGTGTTCTCTTCTAGCGTTTGAGGATAAGGAACAGTTCAGTATTGCACCCTATCGCCAATCAGCCTCGCTTCTGTCGAGTGTCGTGATTGGTCGACTAACGACCGGTTGTCTTTTGAATGAAAACAGACGCAGCAGACAATAATACTTCGATCGAGGAGAAGCAAAGACGTCGGACGATAAGGCTAAAGACGTCTTTAATCGTGTTTATCTACAGCTAATAACAATTAAATATCAATTAAAACCGTTCGTGGATTATTTCTAGTGTCGATACTCACCGCATCTGACGTCTCGTCCTTCGTCTGTTCGCCGTCCTTGGTCGTCTGCGTTTCTTCCATTTTCAACGTCATCCGAGCTTTTAGTTGCTATCTTTTAACGTATTTATGTTATAATCCGTTTCTAAAATCTTTAAACGTTGATAGTTTCATTCGATCGTCGATTATGCACTGGATATTTAATAGATAAACAACGTAACAGTTATCGAACAATTTCCTTTCTCTTACAGCTGTGGTTACCGCACGGAACTATGGGTCCAAACAATATTACTGTCGCCATCTAGTGTCGCCTAAAGACATTTTTTTTATTTTTAGTATGATAAAAATCACCCTCATTCAATCACACGATTAATTTAAAAATTATAAACATTTTAAAAAATTTGTTTCGACTTAAAAAGTATCAAATTTTACGTCTATTAACAAGCGCGTGACGGTTAAAAATATCAATTTTTATATACTTAAATTAAGCCTAAATTTAATCTGTGGATTAAATTTAAATTTGACAAATAGAACGGATTTAAAAAATCACATGTCTGATACGAAAAGTTCATTTTGTTTCTTCATTAAAGTTAAAAAAAACAATTCCAATTGTTTGTAAGTAAAAAAAAAGCTAAAACCTAATTAATCTAAATATTATTGGATAGATTAAATTTGAATTTGTCCAATAAAAAATAATGAATTTTTCGTTGGGGAAATTTATTTTGTTAGGAATATTTTCCCGACACTAATGCATATATAGGCCTACATATTCATATTGAGATGATTGATCTCGAGTGTATTAATATCGAGTCATCAGTTTCTGAATTGATGACTCGGTGACACTGATAAGTGATATCTAGTTACCTTGTCTTGATTAGCTGAATCGCTATTTGACGTCTACCACATGTTAAGTTTGATTGAAGTCGATTTATGTTTTAGTTTTTATAGGTTAACAGACTATGATTTCGCAATAAGTGTTTTTCTATGACAATTTCGTGTAGAATTTTCATGTATTTCTTTTTATAAATATAGACATTTTAAAAAGTTCAAGTATTTATTTAAAATTTTGTATAAGCAGGAATTGAGTGAGCCTTACTCCGATTTACACATAACGTGAACAAGTCGTAGCATACGGACTCACGCTATAAAATCTTAAGGCCTCGCGTTTTTATGCGTTACTATTTTAATGGATTGGAAAGGCCTTTTACATGTTATAACTTAGAACCATAAGTTCAGCCTGGCTTCATCCCTATTCAAAAGCTTTAAAAATATACGAATAAAATAAAGAAAAATAGATTTTTCGCCGTTTATCAAAAGAAAGTTTTAATTTGTATCGCTTTTTATATTAAAAAACTTAATCTTCGGGTTTTTTGACCTTAGGGCCCAGTTAAATGGCCCTTCTGGCTCCTCTCTATCTAGGTTTCTATATTGGAGTTTATATTTTAAGAAATAGCATTAAAAAGCCATTTACATATTCAGTTATAAACTTGATAAAATTGTGTAGTTGTAGATACTTAAAAGTACATTCTAAGTCATATTTTAAGGACACTGTTTTAATACCTGGTTTTATTTCATGTATATGTTTTTAAGGATTAGTTAGGTTATATAATTTTTTTTTCCGTAGGATCTTGTTAATTAAGTGTTATTGGCCTTGCCGTTATTTATTTCGTATTCTCTCTATATATAAGTATATAGATTTTAATTTAGAATTTGCATAAAATTGATCGGTGTGCCCTGTTCCAGAGCATTCTTTTCAAGCAAAATAAGGCAATAAATGTCAGAAGATTTAATATGTATATACGTATTTTTTTTATTTAAAAATTTAATCTTATTCTCTACTAAAATTTAAACATCTTTAATAATATATGAATGCTCTTAAAACCGGTCTGGTGTCTAATGGCATAGGCCTATTAGAATAATGAGCAAATGGATTAAAATATTCCTTAGAAAAATTTTAAAAATTAATTAAAGATATTTTAATTTTAATTTATATGAGGCCCAGATATAGACTAGTAGAGCTATTTGGAGAGACCCATTAGCATAGGCCACAAAATTTAGTCTTTTATGTAAAAAAAAAAAATTGAAATAAAAGTGATATAAATTAAAGTAACTTCTAAAAATTTATGAAAAATTTATTTGTTTTCTTGATTTTATTTATATGCTTTTAAGACATTAGGAGAGGAGTGGAACCCCATATTTGTGACTGGTGCGGGCCGATTCACTTCTCTCAATCGCCAACCAGAGATTAAAGATATTTTAACAAATTACTAGAATATGCGAGGCTTATTTTATTAAATTTTACTCAAATTATATTTAAATATTATTTATTTTTCTAGATATTTTTATGTGCTCCTTGTATAATCGGTAGGCCTTTAGTTATAGATTTCATCTCCGTCTTGTCATTTTCGGTATAAATATTGTTATATTATTAAATATACAATGAATAAAGTAATTAATATTAGGCCTCAATAAAATACTGAAAAATTTTTTTAAATGTTAAAATATTTTACTTTTTAAGGAATTTATATTGATAGAGTCCATTTCGATGTGAAGATAAGTATACAGAAAGTATTAAATTAATATTAATTATAAAATAGTAGTAAAATTTGAATTGCTCCTGTTAACAACGCCTTGAAAGGATCGTTTTGTAGTCAAAGCTTCCGAATTCTTTGAGTAGAATAACTTTATTTACTACTTAAAAGCTCTTGGAAAATCTTTATTCTTTATTGAACTTTTCTGAGAACTCTATACTCTTTGGTTAAATCTTTTAATTATCTGATTTACTTTTAATATAAAAAAAATTAATTAATGCTGTGTTTAGTTGTAAAATTTCAAGTTATATTAGTGCTAAAATAAAATGGTTAATGGTTAGTCAATAGGCCTAGATGACTTAATTTGGTTCTACTTTAACATGACGCACCTAAGTCTTAAATGAGAAATTTTACAAGTAAATATTTTAATTTACATCGATAAATAGGCCTATATACTATTTATATATTTTAGGAATGTTACAAAGTTTAAAAATATTAAAAATTTAATTTAAAAATATATGAAAATCTCATTTGTAAAACATTTTTTAGCTTCAGTATGGAAGAGTTTTCCAATCTTTCTTATCCGATTGGTATATTCTATATAAAACATGCGATAATTACTTAAAATGTCGTCCGCAATCGACCGGTTGATAATTTAAGACATATAACAGCTTAAAGCTTCTTAAACTCAAGGCGAATATAAAAATTTTGAAACGATTAGCATAAAATTTTTTAAATAGGCCAATAACTATAGTTATTCGCATATTATATCCAGAATGTAAATCTTTATTGCTTTAGAAAATATGGAAAATATTTTTATCATAAGAATTCATATTTCTGATCGATTTGGTTTTATACATATTTAATCTTAGTAATTTCAATTTTGTTCAATCGCATAATAATTTCTTTTTTATTCTCTCTCTCTCTCTCTTTCTTACTAGTAACATCCTCTTCTATGTATATTGAAAGTGTAATATCTTGGATTTAGAAACATCTGAAGATATAGATCTTCCATATATAGAGAGAGATTCTAAGATAAAATGGGTCTTATATTAAATATATTGTATTTTATTGACAGTTTTTAAAGAATTCTTAAGGCAAATTTCCAATTTAAAATTCCAGTTTATCATCATTAAGATGCTTTAATAAATCGAAACATCAATACTAATTAGGTACTGAGTGTTTTTCTTGTAAGGTAAATTGACAAACTTACCTTCATAATTTGGAGATAAATAACACAATTTTCTCTAATTTTTTTAATAAAATACTTGAGAAGTTGGAGTTTTTAAATATATTTTTGAAAAAAAAATGAGTAAAATAGAATATTGAACATAAAAAGATGAAAAATTTTCACGCAGTTCTTAGCTTATTTTAATTGTCAACATCTGGATATGTCATAAGTAAGTCCTGTGATCTTCGCTACAAATTAATTAATTATAGTCGCAACAATTTGTTAAGAATTTTTACGAGTTCGAGACAATTGGTGCGAGATTTATAACTGGAAAAGAAAGTTTTGTACAAATGAAAGCGAACGTGTTGAATATTTCAAGTCATAAAGTATAGGGTAGAGCGAGTTAAAAATCTACAGATGGATACGGTATTGGAGCATCACTAATGTAGACGCCATCTTGGTTTTCGCCATCGTTTAAAGAGGCTCTAATGGCTGCGAAGTTGTTCGCAAATTAACCACTCCCCCGCAAATTTCAGATCCCCCTTCGATGTGGATGGATCATTAAATGTAGAGCCGAACCACGTGGTGCAATTAACAGTCTTTTCTAATTAGTTAAATCACACTGTAAACAGTTGCAGCTGATATACCATATGATATTGAGATAAAGAGGCCGAAGTATAGCGAGCCACTGCACCTCTCCTCCCCTCTGATCTTTTTTCGTTCGGGTTCCTATGCTTCGTACCGACTTCTCTGATTACTCTGCGGTTTTTAATTGCCCGATTCTAGTGTTAATTACGCAATTTGTTGTATGTGTGTGTCATTAACCTTACACCGGTCGTCATTGGCATGCATGAGCACTAATTAAAATCCAATGGCAAAAGAATAACTTTGAAATTGCCGCTAACAAAAAGACCTTAATGTTAGGTCTACGGTTACACTTTAATGGTTTACGGTGCAACAAACTTTTCGACTTTCTTGAAGCGTTCATTGATGCTGTTTCTGTTGCTGCCAAACCTATTAAACGACTTGTGTTAACGCCCAAGTTTTGCTAAGTTTGTAGAATGAAGTGATTCACAAGTAGCTTACACATAATTGGTATAGTTTATCTAAACTTAGATGGAGTTCTGCTTCAAAAATCTTATCGATGATGGCCGAAGTTCATTTGTGGGCTGTTAAATTAGTTCGCATTATAACTTACTTCGAACAGGTAACAAAATTATTTCTCTCAAATAACTCTAAACAACATCGTACCCTTCGTCGACCGTAAAATATTACAGATATTTTCTTCACCCTTTTTAATTGTTTAACAAATCAGAATGACGTTATAACTAACAACTGGTGGATACATCAATGATGATGTCATTGCCAAAGAGTGGCTTCCAACAGCTGACAGCTGTTGGTGACGAACTAAGCTTACATGTGCTAATGTGCTTAACATTAGCACGTGCATGTCTAATGTTTATGTTCTTTTCTAAATAATTGTTTGGCCGAGAAGAGAGTGATAAAATCCTTCACAAAAATGCGCTCTTCTTTATTTATTATTATTTTTTATATAATTAATTAAAAGAATCAAAATAAAGTTTATCCAA